CCTTTGCAGACGTGCATTAAATTGGAACTCTTTTCATTTCTTGCTGAGTTAATTGTGATTTGTGAATGAATAGGGAAATCAGATTTTAATTGTTCAAGTTTAATAGCAGGTATCGTTAGGATCTGAGGTTCATTTGTTTCTTAGTTTTTAATGATTTTCTGCATTTTTAGGTTAATATCTAAACTAATTAAGTTCCTATGTTGTGGTTGAGTTTAAGGCATCCACTCAAAATTGTTTTTGCACTAAAAAAGAATGTTTAAATCATGAGAGATTTCTCAAATGAATTAATATTGAAATTTCCTGATTCGTTTCCTTGCTTATAAATAATCAAATAAAATAAAATATCATAAAATGAACACTTATATTTATATTTAATTAATTTAATTAAAAATTTAAATATTTTTTTAAAAGTTAAATTTAATAAATAAAATAAAAATAAAAAAGACTTAAAATAATCTAAGTTTATTTTATCAAGAAAAAATAGTTTTTTTAAAATTTATTTGTTGTAGTTCAGAGAATGTTAAAAACTTGTATTGATTTGGTGTGTTTTAGATAATTATCACGTATTTTATTATGAGTTGAATTAAAAAAAAATTTAAAAAAAATAGTGTGATAGAAGAAACAAGAATAAGTAAGATAGAAATGGATATGGTCGTGGAGATTAAGACAAAAATCTCATACACAATTTTTAGTTAATTTTTTGTCCCTCTAGGAGAGATAAGAGAGACAAAGACCAAACTAATTTTTTTTTTTTTATCATAAATTTCTAATATCTCTTGATTTTAATTAAATTAGTTCCTAATATTATATTTGAAAAATAGAAGAAGAAAAACATAAGCAGGAAGGAGAAAAAAAAAGGGAGAATAAATATTAAATAAGTGGTCACATCATGGAATAAGATAACTATCAATTGAAAGCTTTTAACACTCATAGACAACTAATTTGATTGTTTTCATTTTATCAAATTAATATGGAAAATTAAATTCCTCAAACTAAATAATAAATTATTTCACATGATTTAATTATCCGTAACAATTAAAATAATGAGTGAATTAGAGTAAATTATTTTCCTATGAATTTAATAAAATTGATTAACCAAAGAGTGATTTTTATTAAAAAGTATAAGAATGATTTTTTTTTACCAAAATGAGTTAGTTTTATAACATTATAAAAAAAGAATATCATTATCAAAAAATTTAATATAATAATTAAAACATACATGATATAGAAAAATTAAAATTAATCATATTCTTAAACAAATTGGATTTAATGATGAAAAAATAGGGATTGAATGATAACCATGTGCATATGTGATAAAATTATTTTCTTGTATTTCTAATTATGTTAAATTTTAAATTTTTATTGGTGAAAGTATTTTATTTTATATATGATTAGTTTAATTATTGTTTTTATTATTAAATATATTTAGAGAAATGATTTAATGACTAAGTTTTATTAACAGAATTTCAAATATTGCGAGTTTAATGACAATACATATAAGGGGTGAAATTGACTTTTCAACATTTTTATATCTTGATCATTACCAATCAAATAAAATACAAAGACATTTAATATTGTCTCTTGCAATACACAATCTTAATTTCATTTTGTGTTTTATCCTGTTTTCTTTATCATAGTTTTCTTTATATTTTTTTTTATTTCAAAATAATAACCCAACACTATTTTATGGTCATACTTGGAGCTCAAACCCCTAAGAATAACTCTAAAAAAGATATTTTAATTTACAAAAAATTTAACCGGATCAAACTGAAATCAATTTGGTTTTATCTGGAAAACCAGGAAACCAACACCATCTCCACTGTCGAGATCGGCAGCCATCCTTGACTTCCACTCCTCTTTCAACAGCCACACTAGAATCAACCGCCGGTCAGACCAGGCTGCTACAGCCTCTATTCTCCTTCAAACACTACAAACAGGCACCAGGCTGTTTTCAATTTAATTTTTAACTAGCAACACAACCTATCCTGCATGAGACTACAAAAAATTAATTAGTTATATTGTAAAGATTAATTCAAATCAAGGGATTCATCTCCATGTACATTTACATGCCTTGCAAGTTCACTTAAGCTCCGGATTAAAAAATCTCATTGGATTATTTATAGGAGTGATCGATGGTATGATATTGGTTTTTTTAAAAAAATATTTTTTTCTGAAATTATATTAAAATAATTTTTTATTATTAATTTTTACAATATTACATCAAAACAATTTTAAATAAAAAAGTAATTTTTTAAAAAACACTCAAATGCATTTCCAAAGAACACCTCAGTGTTACTGGTAAGAGAAAATATGTTGGGCCACATAACACAGAAAAACGGACACGGTTGTATTGAAAAGAAGAGAAGAGAAAAGTCAACCGTTCTTATATTTCCCATTAACTTGGATCGAAGAGTGAACAATGAATGGGCACATGCAAAGGTCAGAGAGTATAAATAAGACAATTAACTTTCGGAGCTTCAAAGTGTCCAAACTCCGCATTCAATTCTCCATTTCTCTCCATCTCCTTAAACAAGAGGTGTTGATAACTGAAACCGTTAATAGCATCCGCTAAAATGACATCCAACCACCATATATATATATATAAATGACATCCAACCACCATATATATATATCGTTAGGTGCCAGTTATTAAAATCCATGGTTATCATGACATCTTAGCCATGCATATAGCTGAATGAATTTAGGTTTTAATACTAGATATATATAAGTAATTCCATTGTTTGAGTTTTTGTTGTATTATTGTATTCTAATTTATACGTACTTTGATTCCTTTTAATTTCAATAGGTATTTTCAAATCCCCTTTCTCATGAAAAAAAATAAAATAGAGAAGTCGTCTAATTTGCAAACCAGGTTTTGGGCAATTTTTTAGGAAAAATGTAGGAGCCAAGTCGACTAACAACAGTAGTGAATGCTCTTACCAGCAGTTTTCTTCCCGAAAAGCAAAGGTTAAAGGAGACAAGTTTATGGTTTGTTTCTCCTTGCATTTGAAAAAAATAATTTATTTATTTATTTTAAAATTATTTTGTTAAAAATAAATTTTAAAAAATAAAATATATATTATTTTAATATATTTTTAAATAAAAAATATTTTTAAAAATAATTATTTTCGCAACATTAAAAAGATGTAAAAAGAAAGAAGCTTTCTTCTCCCTTCCCTGGCTACCACCTCTTTAATTATTTGAAATACTAATCTATTTGACTCAAGCAATCTCTCCATCCCCGGCTCTTAAATTTACTGTGTTTAAAACGCTTTCTTATGTCTAGGTTTGAAGAAACACATCAAGCAATTAAATTAGGGATGGATTCGAGGATTTAATTTAATTTGGAAGCTTTAAAATGAACAAAAAATGGCGGCAAAAAAAGGAGTGTGGTTGTGATTACGATCCAACGGTTGAAAACGAACAAAAAAGAGAGACACTGATGGTAACTAATCGTGTTCTGTTCTCTAGGGAACCGCACATCATGAGAGTGTAGAAGAAGGGTCTTTTCTTTTCCTAGATCATATGACCCCACCTTTTCTGACCGTTAATAAACAAGATGTGGTCAGGACATTTAACTCCTTCGATCCCACCAGTGATGAACTGCAGACAATACCGCCGCCGCCGCCCTCTCTTTTGGGAGCGACTCCCTCTGTTGATGACTTAATTATGTCCAAGTCCCTGTGTCAAGGACTAGTTAACAAGCCTTAATAAACCAGAGAGTCTAAGTTAGAGTTCAGCTCCCTCTGGGCTCTTGGGTTCTATCCTGTGCGTATAGCTACCCACGGGTAACCACCATCGAAGGCGCATGCTTTTATGAGAGACCATACATGGATTTCTTGCTCGCCTTATATGAGCTATATAGCCAGAGTAGCATGTATACATGGAACCTGTGGGTTCTACCACCCACCAAAGATGGATGGAATTTGATGCACTGACACCTCATTCTTAATCCATTTCTCCTTCTTCATCAACCTTTTCAACCACTGATCAGACTACCCACCCATCTGCATGTTTCGTGTATTTCTAGTGGGGAACAGAAACATCACTCACTCACTAATTTATATGCCTGTCAAAAAAAGATGGATGCCTTTCCCATTTGGCCTGAAATGGTCTTAGACCTAGTGATGCTGCTGCTGGTGTAGTGGTATTAAACAATACAGGTAAGGGTTGAATGTTGATTACTTTGATAAATCTTGTGATCAAAAGATAGTTAAAAATGATAGCGATCTTAATATTTAAGATATTTCATCGTGAAATCGACTTGCATGTGAATTAAAACTAGCCACAGCATATTTATTACATGCCAATATTTATTAAATGCTTCAACTGACCATTAAAAGAAATGTCAAATCAAATGGCAGGAATAAAACGGTGCGCTTTAAGTTTTTGCAGCACCAAGCATCATGTCCCATAAATGGTCCGAAAATTGTTTGCCAGTATGGGATTAAATCACTATTTGTTTTTGTTTTTTTAAAATATTTTTTATTTTTAAAAAATTTATTTATAATATCAATTTATTAAAAAATATAAATTAAAAAAAATATTTTAAAAAAAATCTACACTCTTAAATAACCTTTAAATCTACCTAACAAAAAATATATTTTTATTTACTATCATGTCTATTTTTTTCTAATAAATAAAAAAAAACCATACTAGTTTTTTAAAAATACAATTGCCTTACTTATTTATTTCGAGAATAAACGTTTTATTAGCCCAAAGAACCCGACAAACGTTTGAAAAACAAGAAATGTGTATTAGCAACGCTTACAAGAGACATAACTAGTATCATCCCCAACTTCATCACAGTCCAAGAGCACAAAAGTGAACACATCCAAACAGAACAGTCATGTCCACAGAAGATGAGAGAGAGGAGAGATTCATACTCCACCAAGTATAATCATAATCCACGAAAAAGATGATCAAGTGAGAAAGCCAACAAAGAAGAATGTGTCTAATTTCACTGTGTTCTATACACCCATTAAAATAAATTCACAAACTGTACAACAAAAAAATATTTTTGTTTTTGATAATAATAAACATCAGTAATGTATGCGAAGAGCCAAATATATTTTTGATCTTTTTTCATTTTTCTTTTGTGTTTTTCCCTCGCCCTACACTATAAGAGCAAACGCAGAATCATGTATATAAACTGCAAATTTGGAGGGGGCAAAACCGTAATTCAAAATAAATCACCACTCTGGTCAAATCAAGCGGGAGAACGAGTCATCGCTCTCAATGGTTATGATTGACTCTACCAAAATCCGCAAGCTTCCTCGATCGGTTCGCGCAAAACGACGCCGCGGTGGACAGATGCGGCCTCACAGGAGCCCTAACCTCGCCAGAATATCCCAATTCAGGCGGCAATCCTCCCTTCTGGTTCCAATTCGGTTTAGGGCTCGCCCTGACAAGAGGACTCAAACAAAACGCCAATCCAGACACGTTCCTAGTGTGTCCCGCCTTCCCCCGCCGCATTACACCCGACGCTACCGGTGTCTTTTTCCACCCCGGCGACGACTCTGCCGAGCAGCCTCTCCCTGACGGTGACCGGCCGCAATTCTCGCAATCATTTTCGGAATCCGCACCTCTCGCTGGCGACATTCCTCGATCCAACCTCTGGCGAGGCTCTCCGCTAACCGCGCCGGAATATTCCACGGGCACTTGCCGTGATTGCTTTCTCCGACGACCGGAGAAGACCATCGAGAACCAGGAAGGCGAAGAAGAAGATGGTGGCTCAATAGAATCACGGCAGCCAGTCGAGTCTGTTTTCAATTTGTCGGATCTGGACCTGAATAAATAAGAAAAAAGCGAGAATTTTTGGCTTTGCTTGTTGTACGCCGCGGTTGTTGTGGTTGCGGAAGGGGTGGTGTAGGTAGGGCCCACCTGAGGAGTGCTGTAGAAACGGAGGTTATGGTGGTGGTTGTGGTTGGACCAGGAGGATGAGGAGGAGTCGGATTTACGGCGAGCAACGTAAGGAGAGACAGAGCGAGGAAATATCAGAGGTGGAGGTGGTTGTTGTAGATATTGAGAGTTAGAATCTGATTTACGGCTTTCATCTACTACCGCAGCGGCGCGTGAATGGTGATGGTTATGTGCCCTTGCGAATTGTGCCATTTGCTGCTGCTGCTGTATTTGAGCCTGAGCAGCGATTAATGCAAATAAGCGTTCTCGGAGACAAGAGGAGCATACGCCCACGCCGCTGCTGAGGTCGCCCGGGTGTTTTTTGCACCTCATTTAGTAAAACTAACAACAAGAGAGTACACGTGCTATGGGTTGTTTTGTTTGTGGGTGAAGAATGTTCACGTGGCGGTGGTGGTGGTGGTGGTGGTGGTGGTGGTCAGCGGTGGCATTTTGTGTGCGGAGGGTTTTTATTATACATGTAGGGTGGTGTCTGTACTGTAAGATAAAGGGATCTGATGAGGAAACCAAAGCGAAAGGTTTGTCTTGTTGTGAGGCTTAGAGAGAGAAAGATGAGGTATCATAGTTGGTGTGCAAGAGACTATATAAGGTGGGAGGAAAAGAGTGGGAAGCATTTGTGGGTTTGAGCTTTAAAGTTCTTGGTATCTAAATTAAATTTGGAGAGAGAGAAATCAAGAATCCATACAATAATACTGTGAGAGAGGGAGGGAGGGAGGGGTATTTTATTTTGTGTTAAAGTTCGAATATGGAAGACACCCTGGCTATAATGCAAAACCAAGATCTGTTTTTTGTAAAGGGCTATGGACAAACGGTGTCGTAGTTTCCAAATCAGCAAGGTAAGGTGCAAAATACAGGCATGAGGCTGTAATTTGCTGCTATAAATGACACAATTACTTTGAGGGATTGGATTTTGGGATTCTTTTACTATAAATCCAAGGTGCGCTGACTGTTCTCAACTCTTTACTTGGGCAGGGTAGCGTTTAAATTGTTATCACAATTCAAGATTTGCTGCCTTGTTTGCAATCAAAATTATCCACTCACATATAATAAGTAGTGCCAGTTGCCTTCAAGATTTTGTTACCGTCTCGGACTTTTGCAATTAATGATTGGGTGACTTGTCAACTGGAAATGGAAGAATTCTTCAATGCTAGGATGTGTTTTTGAATTGTGGAGTGCACACGCCCCAGTCGCAGTGGCGCGTGCGTCGAGTAATTCAGTTAATCGGGGACCAGACTAGGTGTCCTCCTCTCATGCGGGCGCGATCCAGGTGAGAAATCATCTCGGGTTTAAATCACACGGCTGCTTGTCGGTTTGTAAGAAAAAGAACGCGCTTCTGAAAAGCGTCGGAGAAAGCTTTTCCTTTCCATGCGTGCCTCAATTTTGAATTGCAAACAGGCTTTTTGATGATGGGCTTGGTGTGGGCCTTAAGTTTTATTATGTCTTTGATAAGGTCCAAACTCAGGACCCTCTGTGTATTATTGTGCCCTGCATGATGGCAACTATCCATTCCTGGTGCGCACTAGCTAGTACTATCCTCATTATCATCCACTCTACTTTGCTGGCTTTCATTCTGAAACCTGAAAATAATTCAGTTTATCATTGTATTTTAGAAACAATTTTAAATTTATTTTACCAGTCTGATTACTCTTAACTTGTTGTTATGGTTTAGATGATCTTCTTAATCCATCATTTTAGTTAATATTTATATTTAAATTGAAGAAAGTATATTCGAATAAAACTTCAAATTGATTAATTAAATGAGTAAAAAAAAAAAGTGTCACGTACGTAGTTGTTAAATGGAGTTTTCTTCATGGTTTTTTTTTCATGTAAATCAGATTTGTTTGAGTTTTTAATTGAGAGCATTTTCATCTACTTGTATAAAAATATCCGACGATTAAAAATTATTTTATGCTTAGAAAGTAATTAAGTTTATAATAATAATATATTAAGAATTGAACTTAAAATATAACAGCCAATTTAACTGAACTATTTTCTTTGGAACTTGGAAGTTTCGATGGCGTTGCAGGATCGAATTATACGTTCGCGATTACTGCATGGCTAGCTAGCCACTATATCTTCAATTGCATGTCTTAAATCCCGGCGGCAGCACATTTCCTCTCCATGCTGTCCTGCTTCAGCACATGTCGGCGTTTCGGCGCCGTGTATCATCGGGGAATACACAAAGTATATACCAAACTATGACCACCGATATCGATCCACGGCGGAGATACGAAAGTGGAACTAGGAAGGTGCCCTGCATCTCCACAAATACGTACCGTACGAGTATTGGAAAGGCAAACAAGATCAGCCACTAGAATGTCTAGGTATAAGATCAAAACACAGTGTACATAATTATTTAGTACTGTCATTTTTAGACTATTCTGAATCTCAACGCCTTCTTAATCATATAAGAAAGACCAAAACACTTCAAAGAAAAGGGCAGCGCTACTGACGTGTTATAAACTTGGTCTTCAAAAAAAAATAAAGTAGACGGGAAATAAAAGCCGGTAGCATGCATACCTAGACATCCCTTTCCATTAGCAAGAGGTCTGGATAAGGTTTGACCTGGGAAAGGGTTGCTTTCGTTGCAACTCTTTAAGTAACTTGGCCGTTGATTACTTTTCTTTTCTCTCTCTCTCTTTTTTTTGAACATTTTTTGCTCCTGATTAACACCAAGATTTGGATATTCAAAGCATCCTTTTGCGTGATTGATAACTAAACATGACACGATGCGGTATCAGTTCATTCAAATTCAAAAACAATATTGTAATCAACACAACGCAATTTTGTGGAAGGAGACCCTCTCGTCGGAAAGAACCTCGCAGTGCACGGTGTTCCATCTTGGAAACCATGGCCTGATAATTTGACTATATCTTTGTTTTCATTTTTTATATATATACAAGTTGTTAACACAAATTCCGATCAGTGGATCGGCTAGCTTTTTTCTTACAACCCCACAATATTATATGGTGAAAAACTGAAAATAATGTAAGAGCCATTGCGTATATTTAAGATTTTAATTCTACAAAATAACTATTTTGATTGAGAAGTAAGTTGGTTGGTTGAAAAATAATTATAACCATTAATCTAATAATAATAATAATATAATAAAAAACATATAGCATAGTTAAGGGCCCATCTAGTGCCATTAATTTCATGTTTTTTATTTTTTTGTTTTTAGAAAATGAAAAAACTGTCTTATCCTGCTAGTTTGTTATTTTTTGAAAATTAATTAATTTTTTAACATAAGAGTGTGAAAACAATTATACAAACTTAATTTTAAAAAATATATTAATATACTATTGGTTATGGAAATAGAAAGAATAATAATATTTGCATAATTTAATCCACGACAACCAAGTGATAGCACCATGGCAACAACATAAATTGTGGTAGCAATAATGATGGTTACGTACAGTAATAAAATTGGTGATAAAGATTATAGTAATAGCAAATGTATGCTAGGTGTTACTCTCTTGGTAACAAATAGTAGTTGTTATGGACAGATGGGAGCCGTCGCAATAACATGATAACGGTAAAGACTAGTAGAATATATTAAACGATAAATTCACTATAATAAATTAGATTATTTTTCCATGACTTTAAATAAAATAGGTAATATTGGGTTTACTCATGCTAATATAATATGTTGTTATTTTAATATTTTTATTAAAAATTTCATCCAATATGTGTTAGATTTTTTATTCATTATTACAATTTTTTTTATAGAAATCACATTAATGATGGTTAAATTATTATTTTTTGTATTAAAAAAAAAGAGATTTATCTCACCCACTTTGTTTCATTTTTTTGTGATTATATTCAATAAAAAATTTATTTAAAATTTTTTTAACACAACCAAGTTTATAGTTTATGTTGCAAGATCATATGTCTTGACATTCATCTATCTCTAAACTTTTTAATTTAATGATTAGTTATTATTTATAATTTTTTTTACATTTGTTGTTGCAAAATAATTCTTAATTTTTTAATTAAATAAATGTATATGATTTTCTATTTGTGTCCAAAAACACATTATAAATTCTTGCATATTCATTTTGCATTGAAAAAAAAAATCCAACCTGCCATAGAGCACAGGTTAAATAGATAGTAGAAAACACTAACAAACATGGGGGGATATTGTTTCCCGTGCTTTGTAGCTTCTCTCGTAACTCACTATGGACTCCTATGATAATTTTTTTTGTCCATCCTTGATTTAGTTCTTGTATTGTCAAATTGATGGTCAACTGGATCTGATTTGTTGAGTAAGAGCAAAATTAAAAGATGGAAGATCAAAGTGTAAAAAATGAAAAAACATGATGGCTTCTTCAAAGTTTGTATTAAAAGTTCATTTTGGTATTATAATTTTTAATTTATTTCTTTTCAATCCTTTTAGTTTTAGAATTCTTAATTATGATTCATAACTTTATTTTCATTGGTTTTTAGTTTTTTGTTTGAGAAATAAGAAAGAAAATTATTGGATTCTAATAATAGACATAAAAATTCTCACTTGGTAGTGATTATGGCCACGAAAATTATTGATTTTGATTTTAACAAGGGAAGTCTCGCCTAGGTATCTTTTGGTAATGGTTAATTTGAGTTCTAGAAGATTTTCTAGTTTCATGTTGATTATGATTATGGGTTTGTGGATTTTATTTTGGATTATTTAAGATTATTTACAGATTTATCAAAGTTTTATGAAGTGTTTGTAGGTATTTTGAATTTTTTAAAAAATAAAAATAACTTTTGAGATAAAAATTTTACCACCCTTAATTTTTTTGCCATGATAATTGTTAGAATCTAGTTAGAGACATGAGACATGTCACTTATTTTTTAAAAAAAAAATTGGAGCAGCCAAGGAGCAAATGAAAGGGCAATCGCCCCTTTAAATTTTTTTTATAAGGAAGCCAGCCTAGACGCGTTGGGTCTCCTAAGCCAAAGCCTTTTTTTGTGTTCATTGATTTATTTTTGATCATTTTGTTTTTTTCTTCCAATTATATCCTTGTTTATTGAATTTTTTTGGTTTTTTTTTTACCAATTTCAACATATTTTTAACAAATTTTTAAGATGTTTTTTAATGTAATACAATTTATTTTTTACATAGTTTAAGAATAAGATTTCAATGTTTTTTTAATGACATTAGACAATATTCTTTTTGTATAGCCTTACTTAATTATTATTTTTTTAGTTTTATCCGATCACTTTTTTAAGCATTTTTTAATCTTTTATTAAATAAAAAATTAGTTTAAAAAAATAAAATTATTAAATACAATTTTTTATTTATATCTATCTCATTATTTTTTAATTTTAATTTTTCGTTGTAGTTAACAAGTTTTTATATTATTTATTGACATAAATACCTTCTACTTTATTCAATTAAATACATGTGATCAAATTTTAATTTACAGCTGATTTCTCCGTGTCAAAAAAACACATTGAAAAAATATATGTATGTTTTTTGCCTTGAAAACACTTTTTATTCTATCTAAAGCTAAGCACGGATATATTCTACGTGCCAGCGAACGATTCCCTTCCCTTCTCTTACATATTGTAAAAAAAGAGAGTTGAATTTATACGTTAACCAGTCAATATAAACAATTCCATAATGCCTAAAATTCTAGCCTGTGATTATCCAATGAATGCTAAAGTCACAATGATTGCGGCTTGTTCTTGGATGAAACCAGGGAATCCTTGCAAAGTCGTCACCCAAAAACCTTGAGAAGAGTAATTAAATAAACATTTTTATTTTATTGTTTTTTTTTGTCTTGAACGTCATGCATCAAAACTCTTCGAATCATGAAGTCATTTGCCTGAAGGTTGCGTATTATTTTTGTCATTCAGCCATAGAAAACGCCAATGATTTGCCGGTTGATTATGTTTATTGGAGTGACGGTCAGAGCAGAAATCAGCCAACTGCCTTCGCTTTGTTGATTGTGGCTGAAGTAGCTTCCCTTAGCAACCCTTCGAGGTCAAAGATTCAACGGTGCGTTTTATTATTATTAGACGAAGGAGGTCATTTGTTTTTGTATTTAAAAAAAAATGATTTTTTTTAATTTTTTCTTAGTTTTGAGTTAAATTTTTAAAAAATAAAAAATATTTTAATATATTTTAAAAAAATTAACCACTTCATAACTAAATAAATAAATAAAAACAAAAGAAGAAGAGGAAGTACGCGCCTTCTTGCTCGGAGGGTGGGCAAGGGGGCATAAGAGGACCCATTCCTTTCCCGTGAAGTAAATTTTTTATAGATAAATCTCATTCTTTGCTTTCCAATCGGATTCCTGCATGTTGAGTTCCTGATCTCATATCTTATAAGTCCAAGTTTGGACCCAATCCAATTTTTTCGAGTCTGATTTCGGGGCCCAATATCAACCCATGATGGGTTTTCAGGTTCTGTTTATTTTTTATTTTTTTCTTAAATTTAAACTTAAATCCTTTAAATTTAAATAATTAAAATTTATATTCAGGGTATTGTTCCATTAAATACTATTCTTTTTTTTTCAAATAATATTATACTATTTTTTTTATAATACTAGCAAGTGTTATTTTTTACAATTCTTCATGATTTCTTTTTTTAAAAAAACTTTTTTAAAGTTTAATCAAAACTAATTATGGTTACATAAATGC